CCGCGCGCCACTAAAAGGAGAAGGGTTCGCACCAACGAGGAGGGCATTGCTGATGGAGGGATCGATAAGAAGACGAAATGATGTCCAAAGGTATCCATTAGAAAGTTTAACGCGTGTAAAGTGTTAAAAAAAAGAAGCTTCGATATGACATCTGGATTTAACCTGTCGCTTCCCGACAAAGATACGTATCTATCACACATCAAACTCTACACGTCTCTACAATGATATCCAATGATTCTGCATTATGACGTTTTCTTCGTCCTAGATTTCGTTATTTCGGTCCGGAAAACGGTCATCGCGTGCCGGACTATATAAGAAAGTAAACCCATTCTGAAACGAGTTGGATTTTTTGCGGTCCTCATTTCCTTTAATTCCTATTTAGGTTTAATTCCTATTTAGTATATTTAGTTTCAGGTAACATTTTTAAAATTGGTCAGCACTGCGCTACAATGTCAGCCGAGGAAAGAGGGTGAATTTTTTTGCAACAATTCGGCGCGCCGCGAGCTATGTTTAAACGAGCACAAATAACCATAATGAGGTTGCCACGAAAAATTCTGCTCAAAATTCGGAGCGAGCATTTCGTAAATGCGCGTGCATCCCGAAGACGAACGTTCTCAGAAGAGGATAAACTCTAATATATGCAAATCCCTAGTGCGGTCGAAATGCGAGAAAGTAGCCGAAACACGGCATTCGCGGAATCGATTCATAACTCGGTGACCATGGACAGGATGCATCATTAATAGCTGCAGTCCTTTATATGGGGTGTCCGAGAAATTATGATCAATAACGAGAAGGCATTTCGGAACTAATTTGAAATCCAGTTTTTACCCTTAAAAAAATTATTATTATTTATTTCTTTTAATTTAAATTTAATTTATGCTTCTTAATATTTCGCAACTTTCTTCGGAAAGGATATAAATTATTATATTACAGGAGACATAAAATGCAGAAAAGCGTTAAACCTTTGATTTCTCCAAACTCTAATAACATTTTAATAAATCATAATCTATACTCTGTTAACCTATAATCTCGGCTCGAATTGCAAGTATCGAAAATTAATGTCTGACGAAAGAAATCCCAGTTCTTTCATTAAACAACGAAAAAGATAAAAAAATAAACGAAAAAACAACGGAGGTGACGGTGTCGTGGTCAAGCGCTATGTGTTTGTTTTGCTTATCTGAGACAAATTTGCTGTCTTGTAAGCTACACCGAAGGGTCGCCTTTGACAAACTATGGATCCCTTTTTGGAAGACCCAGATACAAGTATATAACACACAGGGACAACTCTTAGGCGTGTATACGAGAGATCCTTCTCGTCCGGTACGAAAGGCCGAAAAAGTCCTATATTCTTTCCTTCGATTTCTTTTTTTGTCCCTCTCTCTCTCTCTCTCTCTCTCCTCCT